CGAACACTGATTTTGGTAATAAAATTCAATGATTTGCAAGCGTTGCTCGTTAGTAAGTCTATTCATGATGAAATTTCAAAGCATACTGAGCATCTTTCTCTTTGACACCATGTCTGAAATCCCACGTGATCTGTCAAATACTAATGCATGAAAATCCTAACCTCAAAAAAATCACTCGTTATAAACAGTCAAGATGTTAATGGATATACCCCACTACACCACGCATGTCTGAATGGCCACATCAACAACGTGCGACTTTTATTGGCTCATAATGCTGTACCAGACATGCCAGACATAAGAGGCTCAACTCCATTGTATTTAGCAGCATGGGCAGGTCATGATGAGATAATTAAACAACTATTACTGCAACCACCCAAAGCAGCTAATCAAAATGCGCAGGTTTGAGACAAAACTTTCTTAATTTTCTTCAAAAGTTAATCTGATTTCATTTGTAGACTATTGATAATGAAACTCCACTGCATTGTGCCGNATACACGTATTACATTCCGACAGTCAGCTGTGACAATTTGGAAAAAAAAGTGGGTCAACGGCCGCGGTCAATTGTAATTTCCAATAGCACTGTGCAGATTGGAAATCCACCAGAGGAAATCGAGAGAGACTGTGTACTTACCAGCGAGGGAAAACATACATACATCGTTCCAGCAGCGTCGGCAGATGTACGATCGCACCGGCGCCAACGCCGCCAAGCTAGTACCTACGTGNTGTAGACTATTGATAATGAAACTCCACTGCATTGTGCCGCACAACACGGCCAAAACACTGTTTTAGCCATTTTGCTTGCCTACGATGCGGACCCCACTGTCCGCAACAATAGTTTTCAAACTGCACNACCTACGTGCAGTTGTCGTATTATTTTTTATTTTACCAGTTTGCCCATTATCCCTTTTTTACGTATTTCCTTTTGCCTATTTTTTGACAATTAAGCGCGTGTTTTCTGTTGTTTTTGCTATCATAAATTTTCCTTTATTTTTTTTAATTTTAATTGCGAATAATGAATTGACTTTGCACATTAATACTCTTATTATTGTTGTTACCCACTTAAAAACAGATAATGTAATTATTTTCTAGTATAATATTTTCGTAAAACTGGTAGGCCCATGGCACAATAAACAGGTAGAAGCATGGTAGCAAATACAACAACTGCATGTATTTTGTTGTTGCTTGAAAAACATAAAGTGTCAAAAATGAAAAGCCAAACTTGCCGATGTAAACAGAGTTTGAGAATTCACAAAGCAAGCAAAATGGACGCCAAAGCAAAAAACGTGAGTATAAAAGATTCAATATTGTATTAATAAGCTTTTAAAAAGACATTTTAACGTCTTATATTGTCAATTAGATGCAGAATATGACTAACTACTTTACTAAATTATAATTGTTTCATTACTTTTAGATATGAGCAATGTGGAGCAATAACAAGAAATGCGGCCACCAAAGGTTTTTGGGAACAGAAATTTATATTTTAATAAATGGAAATACGTGCGAAAGTTATGGCGAATACGATTTTGTGTGCCAAAATGGTAATTTCAAACGATTATAAAGGTTTCAAGCTGTGCGATTATTCAATGAAGGGCATACATATTTCGTGGCATTGAGTGGGTGTAGAGACTTTGAGCATAAAGTAAACAAATGTTTTGTTGGCGTAAATAACAATAACCAACAATTGTTAATAATTGACTAATTGCAAGAAATCCGTTATTTCTACTAGTATCTCCAAAATCAAGATAAAGTCAACCAAGTGTTACCAATATAGTGAATTGAAATAAGCTTGTATTTACATACATTCAACCATGGCACAGTTATGCCATGCATGCAACTAACCTTTTAATTTTTTGTCAAAAGCTTTCGTCGCAGTCCATGTA